AGATAGAGGCCCATAAACAAAAACTGTCCTGTTCGAATATCCTTTCCGCCGTTTGTGAGTGTATGAAAAACGCTATAGACTAGTAGATGACCAGCAGGGTACCTTAACGTTATGCTAGATAGATACAAATTTTTCTCTTTATATTGTAATGCATTACACCACAGGTCCAGTGTCGCCTTCTATCAGCGAATAGTTCCGAACACCTTTCTTCATGTAACACTCAACTTGCTGCATGTACGTTGACCAATCAATTTCGGTGTCTGAAAGCTCCAGGAGAGAAAAAAATTACTGCTGGGATAGGCGTAATCCACATCCTATTTGGCGTCATTTAGTAAGCACAGGATGATGGCGTACTTTCTGACATTTTGATAGAGTCATATTTCAACTTACTACCCTCTTCCAACCATCAAAAAAAGATTTTGTACACGGGCATCTGACCCGCATTATTCCGCTTTTCAAATTCTTGTTATGATGATAGCGACCGTAATTGCAAAACGGAAGCCTTTCCCAACATATACAAAGCCGGGTGAATTCACGTAACCTCTCTACATCGAAGCACACTTTACAGCTTCTTTCATGTGCAAGACGAGATAATGCGGAAGTGAACAGGAGCTTCTCACAATTGAGCACACCTGCCCAGCAAAAGATCTTCAAAATAGAGAGCAGATCCTCAATCGTGGGAATGAATGGCCTATTTTCCAAAGATAATCAAGACAAACTCCTTCGACTTAGCATATTTTTAAGAAAAAATACACTTACATGGAACATTTTTTATGATGAGGAATGTTCCGATGGCATCAAGCACAAATAGCACTGCAGCAACAAAGATAAATCCAACACCATTTACGGTAAACATTAACCGTAAGAAGCTATCTCTCAGTGTCATCTAAAGACGGTTTCATTGACAATATTTGAAACACTGATTAATGATTAAAAATCGCCAACTCATAAGGCGAATGGTAGAGGCTTCCATGGAAAATAGCAATTTATACATATTCATGCAGAATCCATCTTTATTATAGAATAACAGGTAGCGCATGCAGCACAGCTATTCAAAAAGCTGTAGTAAATGCGAACTTCTTCACATAAGATAATGATTACTCGTCATTGAAGAAGCGATTGAAACTATTCAAACTGTACGACTCAAATATAAGTACATGATTTGTACAAAAGGGATGCCAAAGGTAGAGGGCAAATGAGGTCATATTAAAAAACAACAATTTGTTAGCAATAGCAGTAAGAACAAACGTTTACCGCCGATAGCGGTATCGTTTAAACACAAACCATAGCTGAAATACACCATTCTGGAACTGGCATTTGTAGCCGTGTTTATGGCTGACTTCCCATTCACGATTAACGCACTTGAATGCGATGTCTTCATACGGAGGACCAGCCTTCAATAGAACGATTTTAACAGATTGGAAAACAACATAAATGAAAGAATAGCAAGGCGTCCATGAAGTTTTGTACCTTAAACCTGATGACTGCGAAATCTGGATCATCACAGGGAGTGACAGTGAAGGAGGGTGTTTCCGAGGGATCCAAAAGATCAGGATAAAAAATCTTCAAAAAAGACTCTTCTTTGAATAGATCCTTATACTAATTGTAAAAAGGATAAGATGTACTCACATTAAATTTGTAACCTTGAACAATTTTTGGAGGTGGATTATCCATGTCATAATGAGTTTGATTGTACTTATTCCAATCAAAACCGGTTTGAACACGGTTCAGGTAAGTAGGCTTTCGTGGACGGTACTTATCCGACCATAGGTGTGTCTGGAAAAGTAAGAAGCTATTGGAGCATTGACTGAGTTCTCGTGATTTTTTTCTGCACGCTTTGTCCTGCATTTTCTGGATTTTCGCCTGAGTGAGCAATTATTTTGAAAGCCTTTCCTGCTACATAATAACTCAAATATTGTTTCCTCAAGTCCCTTTTTTGCTTGTTTGGATTTTCTGGGAGTTGGAAGATTGGGTGGATAAAAAAAATGAGGCCAAAAATTTAGCGAACGGGTCACATCTGTACCGCTTATGTGAAAGATGCCGCTTTCTGCAAAACTACCAGATCAATAAGCTCAAAATTCGACAAGCACTCTCTAACCCGAGGCCGCCCACTTCAATATAGGATCAAAGACCATACAGCTTCAACTCCACTGTAATTTCCAACCATTTCAATATAATCTCCTTTCCGATTTCCAATCATATGCAAGGTGCAGCCTTAAAAAACGAAGTGTTTCTCAATGCTGGTACGATTCTTTCTCGAGAAAAGCCGTATGGAGTGGCTATGCATTTTTTTTTTTGGAAAAATTATAGCAGCTGTATTTCAAATACCCATATGGCATTTCAGATAACTGCTTTCCAAATAAATTTCAAGATAGTAAATTTTTTTGATACTAAACTACAGTACTGACTGTCTTCGACTTTTTTTT